GAAAAGATAGAGATTCTCAGAGTGGATCAAAATACCCAAGACCTGTAGTATGTAGAACACCTAGAATGAACTTTAATGTAAACTATGGACTTTGGAAGATAACAATGTGTCAATGCAGGTTCATCAGTTTTAACAAATATACCATCTGGTGCTGGATATTGATAGTGGGGAAGCTTGTGTTATGGGGTGGGGGAAGACTATAAGGGATATATGGCAACTGTCTATACTTTCTGCTCAGTTTTGCTGTGAACCTAAAATTTCTCTAAAATCAATTCAATAATTATTAAAAATGTGAAAAAGTTGGCAGAAAGTGAAAATTTTAAAATGACTTCATTTAACTGTGTTTAAAGATTTTGTTCTCTAATTGTGTCTTTTCTAAATATAAACTCAATGTTTGATTGAACAGAAATCAACTTTTATTTAGACACAAATGTTATAAATAGTAATCATAGATCCCCAGCATAAACTACAAACGCCTACGTCACTCACTCGAGGCTGAAATAATGTATATTTTTAGTGCATAAGAGTATTGTAACATAACATTACTAATTGTAAAAAAAAAGTGTGTATCTTTTTCATTTATCCTGAATGCTAATGTTTGAAGAAATATCAATTTCATTAGAGGATGAAGAAAGGATATTTCTGTGTAAGGTTCTAAATATTTAAAAGCACTTAAAGATTGATAGCACTGTTTCTTCATCATACCAATTTGCCTTCAAATAATTTATTTACTTTTTTTGCAAATCTATCACTAGTACTGCTCAGTTTCTCTAGGAAGTTCCATATATCTTGCTACATGAGATGGCTTTCTCCAGTGGTACTAAAACCCTTTAGATAGGATATGCACTTTTTTCAAATTTCAGAATGTTACAGGAATAAAAACGTTTTGGTTACATAATTTGCTTTTGTATAGTTTGAGTCAGAGTTGTAAGTGTGCCCATCACCCAGATAGTGTGCATTGTACCCGTTAGGTGTGAATTTACCCATCCCATCTTTCCTCCTCCCACCTGCTTGATTTCCATCCATTAAAAAAAAAAAAATGTTGAACTAATACTTTTTGTAATGATCTGGATGGAACTGGAGACGATTCTTCTAAGTGAAGTATTGCAAGAATGGAAAAACCAACACCACATGTCCTCAATACTAAATTGGAACAAATTGGTCAACACTTATGTGCACATATGAATGCACTTTCTATTTCACTATAGTCCCAGTCATTCCTTACAGGCCAAATAGCAGTTGTCATTCATCATTTTATGATCTCTTACTTTCCAAATTTAAATTACATGCCTTGATGTCTATCGACATTTGGGGATTTCAACTCCTGTACTCTGAAAATATAAGTTGAAATTAATAGTACTTGTAAAATTTTTGCAAGGTATAAAGGTAAGGGTTGGGGAAGACAGATATAAAGCAATGAAGGGGAAGTTTATCAAATAATGAAAATGACTGACAGTTCTTCATATTTGTTTTTCAAGGCAAACATGTCCCGAGTAAGGCAAGTGGGATTGCTGGCTGCTGGGTGTCAGCCGTGGAACAAAGACGTATGTGCTGCCAGTGGAGACAGGTTTGCATATTGTGCAACCCTGGCTATCTATATTTACCAGGTAAAATTATAATAATTCTTTTCAATTGTTAATTTTATCAGGCAAAATAGTATTTAACTAATATTTATTTTTAATCCTGTGATGAAAATGATGATGCTTGGATATATGCTTAGTTCATACTTATTATGAATTGATTTTCCTTAAAGTACAGACACACACTCTCTCTCTCTCACACA